ACAACCCCCAACCCCAACCATACTTGCTTGCAATTGCATTAGAATTGCTTTTTAAAATATTACTATGGTTCTAGGATCAGACAGTTGGAAAATGTAAAAACGACTCCCAGAGACAGTTAATGGCAGCACAAAGGGATCTAGGGTGAGTGTTCAAAGAAAAATGGGAAAAAAATATTTTTGGAAGATGGAAAAGTTCACACACACACACACACACACACACACACACACACAATTATTGCCAAGTCAATGCAGACAATGTAAAAGAAACTTCCAGACTGAATACAGAAAATTCCACTTAGCATCTCTGTGCCTCATTTTATATGAGAAGATTGCAATGAGAAATACCATGAAACAGCTTGATAGGCATCAATTTGCATATTGGGTTCTGAATATGCAAAATTAATAGTGGTGCTCATCTGCCCCTCTGCCTACTAATTGTTTAATTGAATATGTATGCATAATTGTCAGGTACAGGGTGAATTGTTTCAGATACAGATGTTGCACAACTTACAGTCTCTTCAGCACTTTTTGATAGATCACCAAAGAGAGGCTAATAAATTACAGATATTCCAATTCTCTCCCATTTTATGTCCTCTTGTATTTTAATCCAGAGTCCAGTTAGAGATGCCTGTATCACATGGGAATAGAACCATCCACTGGGCAACTTACTAGGGGACACGCTGCTGAAGAAAACCAATTCCCCTTTCCCAGAGGGATGGATGTGATCTAGATACTTTGTATGCATGTAAGAAATTACCAAAGAAAATAAAAAACACAGGAAAAATATTTTAAGTAAACAAAATATTTTAATATAAAAAAGACAAGGAAAATAATGTTCTCAATTTTAAATGTTGAGGGATTTTATGTTCCTCTACAATAAAAATAAATTAGAAAAACAACATTATAGATTTGGATTCTTAATCTTGATTTCTTTGGAAGGTAGCAAACACAGAGGAATCATTCTTGAGTTTAGTAAATCATTGTGCCATTAAAGGAACCTTCTTAGCATGCTTGTGGAAGCTTTATTACTTCTGTGATTCTGCTCCTTTATTGGTGATGTTTTACCTTGTTGAATTAGAAGTAGAAATGAAGAGAATCTAATGGCTTCGATGAGGCTGATAGAAGTAGACCTGGAGAGAACTGGTGAGAGATTTTTAAATAGAATGAGAAGAATTTATTGATGAAGTATATGATTTTTCATTTGTGTTAATAATGAGGGTTTTTAAAAACCATTTCTTGAAATGAAGAAGAGAATAAGGAGGGAAGAGAAAAGAACAAATTCATTTGTATTATCTTAAGCTTGACAGATAGATATCTGGAGCTGAAAAGTAAGGTCCAGATTGCATATGTAACCCTGGACATTGTCTTCATGTATGTGATGTATAAGGCCAGGAGAATGGGTGAGATCAACCTAAAATAAAGGAAGGACGGAACAAAGGAGAGAGAAGAGAGAGGAATGGGAATGTGCAAAAGGAAAGAACGGGGTCTGTGAGATCATGATACTCTTTGTATCAGGTGAGATCTTTATTTACGTTAAATCTTTTTGGTCATTCAGAATTGAGAAAGAATAATTTAGAAATATAAACTCGAATAATCAATTGAATACTGTGAGTATATGTCCTGTCTTTCAAATCTTACTATAGCAATCAGATGACTTGTTAATGGAGGAAAACATTTAAATGCATTTCATGTTTATAAGAGTAGCTTTAATTAATGATCCGTTAATGCAGTGCTCAGGAAATTGTAGTCATTTGGTCTTCAATGTTTTGTGGCTTATAGTACACTCGAGGCTTAGACGAATTTCATTTTTATATGCAGTTTTTTTGTTTATGCATTTTTTTTTGTAATTCATTTAGCAAGCCAGGTTTTCATGAAGGAAATTATATTTAAAAATACATAGTCATGGGGCTGGAGAGATGGTTCAGTGGTAAAGAGCACTGGCTGTTCTTGCAGAGGAGCCGGGTTTGATTCCCAGCTTCCAGAGTGTGACTAACAACTGCCTGTAACTCCATTTCCAGGGGACCTGACACCCTCTTCTGTCCTCCGCAGGCATTGCATTCACACGTGCGCTTAAATGTATGCAGGCAATACACTCTTTCACATAAAATAAAAATAAATAAAATGTTTTTTAAAAATGTATGTCACAAAATTTAAATTTATCTAAATGGAATAAAATTGAAAATGTTTTCTTTGATAAAAACTTTTCAATGGCTTTATACATCAGATAAAAATGTGCCTCATGTTCCTGCTGTTACAGGAAAGGACCTAGGTTCTTTACATAGATCTTTACATTCATAAAGTTACACAAAGAAATTTTATATCTAGTACCCTGGTTTGATCAGTGAACACTGCATACATTCATTAATATGTAAAAGTGAACATGTTAATAAAAATGAAATAAATAAAAGAATATTGAAAAAAGTAGAAGTGGTAATCTCAGTATGGCTGCCGTGCAGCAGTTTGGCCCCTCTTTGTAGCTATATGATCAGGACAGAGAAATTCCCAGATAGCATCTTCTAAACTTGCCCTTCTTTGTCTGTCCTATAAAGAAACTGTTTATAATATGATCAAAAGAAATGACATGTATTTATGAAAATGCCTTAATGAAACATTTTTTGAAACAGGGTCTCCTTGTAGCCCCAAGTACCCAGGAAAACTCTATGTTGACCAAGCTGGCCTCAATCTCACAGAAATCCTCTTGCCTCTGCCTCCCAAGTGCACGTATCAAAGATGTGCCATGCAGCACAGGCATACACTTTATTAATTTGTACAATGACCATACGTTATCACAAATAAATCCACATATCTCTTGTACTACTCAGTCTTCTCTATTTCCATGGACCTTCTCTCAGTTCAAATCACTCATCATTTTCCTCATCTGATATTTCTCAATGGCCCTAATGCTCCAGCCTTGACCTTCCATTTATCCTTCAGTTGCCAAGAGATCTGCAGCAGCTACACCCTCTCTGCGGTACCCTCTTCAACTCACTTGCCTCTCGTGCCTGTGGTATTACAGTGGCTTCCACTTAACTGTTCTCCCATTTCCATTTCTTTACAAAATGTATCATTTCTTTCTATTGCTTCAAATTTTGAAATCTCACCCCATTTCATTACAATGATATATAGAGCCTAACTTCTTGAAATATTTTTTGTTTGAAATATTCTTCTACAGCCTCTCATGGATTTCTGTTTCATTAAAAAGTCCTCTAGCTAAATGAGCCCCTTCACAAGCCATCTCTGAGCACTCAGATCCTCCTTCTTTATGACTCTCCACCTTCTGCTTAATTCTAAAATCACCTTGACTAACTATGTAGGCTTTGGACTCTATCTGGTAGACTTCAGACACTGACTCATCTACCTAGTAGCTGATGCGCCTGGGCAAGTTATTAAGTATCTATGTCTTTTTCTACAAAATGTGATAAATATAGCTCATAAAAGTGCTAAAAAGCTCAATTACCTAAGCTTAAAGACTGTAGAATAATGACTAGCATTGCTATATAGTTTATATAACAATATTGTGTGTAATAACATTATTAATAATGTCTATTCATTGTTTTTAGTTGGGGATGTAGTATAATATGCATTAAATATGTCTTTAAATTCAGTCTTGTCTATCCTATTTTGTGAAAATGCATTAAGAACAGAGTCTGTTTCTCAATAGTTGGTCCTAAATAAATATGTGACTTTCTGTTACTTTACTAGTGACCAAGACAGAGAAATTATACAGAAATTTAATTTAAAAATTTTAACATTACAGAACAATTTTCTGAGATATTCTGCCTTTAATGTCTATTTGCAATTACTAACTGATGCATAATTTGCCCTTGAACAGAAGATTTCAGCTACTGGGATTTGGATACATTGGAAATCTCAAGTCCTAGAAAGAGTCAGCAGAAATCAGACTATAGGGGAACCTCCTCTCCACTCATGAAGTTGGTATTAGGTACAAAGCATCAGATCCAGGTAGACTTGAGTCTGTGACCTATATTAGGTTAGAAGAAAACCAGAAAGAAGTCTCCTGGTAGTGACTCAGGAATCTAGAGAGGCAACTGAGGTGCTTTTCTAGAGTAAGGATGAGTTGGAAGGCTTCTAGGGACTAGAATTGGTCAGACAAATGTTACTGTGTATATGAAAACACTGGGTCAGAGATGAAGAGATGACTCAGGAATAAAGTGTTTGCTGCACAAGCATGAGGACCTGAATTTGAGCACCTAGAACCCATAACAGAAAGTCAGGTGTAGTTGCATGTCTGTAATCCCAGTGCTGGGATGTAGAGACAGGACGATCTTAGGGGCTTGCTGACTATCCAGCATAGACAATCAATGAATTCCACTTTCAGTGAGAGACTCTGTCTCAGAAAACAATAAAAAAAGATATCTGAAGTAAACCTCTGGTCATGTGCACCTATACACAGTCACATGTGTATACACACACACACACACACACACACACACACACACACACACACACACACAAACTAGTATATCTTAATGTCTCCTGGATAATTAAAAAGCAGTGAAAAAAATCAGAGTTCAGCAAAGGTAATCTTCCTAAATGCTGTTAGTATAACAGAAAAAATCAGATTTGGATAAAAATGATAATGTCATAGATTTTATTTGGGGGTTGAGCTCTTCCTATGAAGATCATTTATTATATATTGATTTTACTGCAGATTGTAAAGAAATTCTACTAGATTGAAAACCAAAGTAGTTGAAGGAGCATTGAGCCTCTTTTCACAGCTTGCGTCCAATAAATAATCTTATCTCAAAGTTTAGTGGACATGCATAGACGGAAACTGGATTTATATTTCCACATTATCAAATTTATGTCTGTATGTTGTTTGCTGTATTTGAAAACCGTAGGATGTGTTATAAGATATTGCCTTTGGCTTTAGGTGGCCTTTTTTTTTCAGGCTGTAGCATCTGTTCATTGTGTCAGAATACAAATTTAGAAACTTTTATATATAGCCAGTTCGTCATCTTTTTGCCAACTGAATTGCTTCAAATTTCCCAGATAAAGCTACATTTGTTGGAAGACCTTTCCACAAAGAATACATAGAGGTAGGTATGTGTCTGTTCTATCTGATCCTTCTAGAAGACGAGGCATTTAAATAAAATATGAATCTGGGTTATGTAAGAGCTCAAATAGCAGCAATCATATTACATAAAGCTTTTCATACTTTGAAAACAGTGTATTCTCAAGTGAAACCACTCTCTATGCTTCATAATATATTTTTATGGGCCAAGAAATTTATACTATTAAGTTTTAAGTTCTTTAAATTACAGGTTGTTAAAAGATTTATTACTGTCTTGATTTTAGATTTCATAATTCATAGCTGCTTTTTATACACATTACTAATGAAAAATCCTGATTTGTTAAATCAGCCGTATGAATTTCTGCATCTACCTTTAGAAAAGCTTTCAGTATTTAACTGAACTGAACATATAAAATATATTTAACAATTGTTGCCTGAATATATCTGATTAATGAAACTCTTAGATTTAAGACTGCTAATGCAATTTCATTTAAAATTTATTATTGATAATATCCCACAGATGATTATAATTATATTGATTACTCCTAGTGGGGTCATATATTCACTTTTAAAAAAATATAAAGTTTATTAAAGACTATGATTAAAATTTTGAGTTGAATAATAATATCCTGTCAATTCAAAAGTCTCTACTGTCTTCTCTAAATTTTATTCAAAGAGCCATTCTTACCTCCCTTCTTCAGTCACCAGTTTATCTGATATTTTTTTCTTTAACCATCTGTTATTTATCCATGGCTTTGGTCTAAGTCAAGGTCACCCATACTCTGTGTTCCCAGAAGTGAGTAGAAGCTAAGTAGGGGTGTAGATAAATGACTGTGTCCTTAGCATAGAAGTATGGAGCTTTTCACCTCCTGACTCATCCAGAACCTATGGGTAATACTCTGGGCAAAGAGAAGGCCATATTCCAAATACTTACTAGGTATTTTCCAGTAGTAAAGAAATAGTTTGTAAAGTTTGCCTTTTGTCTGAAGGAATGACAGGGCTCTCCGAAAATTTTAAACCTTCTGGGAAATCAAACATAAACAACATTTTTATTATTTGCTTTTTGCTTTCTGGGTTTGCAACAATAATGTGTGTGTGTGTGTGTGTGTGTGTGTGTGTGTGTGTGTGTACCTTTAACTGAGAAACTCAGAGTGCTTAAGGAAAAACTTTATAGATGTGTATCATATTGTTATGTTTTAAAGTTTTTTCCCTAAGCAGCTAATAAAAAGGCATTTGGGAGAATGTTGATGACTTGTTTTAAAAAGTTAAAGTTGGGGCTGGAGAGATGGCCCAGCAGTTAAGAGCACTGACTGCTCTTGCAGAGGACCTGGGTTTGATTCCCAGTACTCACATGGTGGCTACCAACCGTCCTTAACTCCAGTTCCAGGGGGAATCCGAAGATCTCTTCTGACCTCCAGTGCATTGTACGACACGGGTGCTCTCACATACATGCAGGCAATACACTCATACATATAGAATTAAAATAATAAATAAAATATACTTTTTTTACACACCCACATCCCAGAGAGCACCCTCCCACAGCCTCCCTCCCCCCACTAGAGCCCTTATACTCTGATATCCCTGCTACTGTCTGCTGTGTTGTTGGCATCCCCAGCCATTCCCCACTACTTGTCCATCTGGTGAATCTTCAGCCTATCTAGAGGTCTTTGTTTTAGGAAGGTCGGCTGTTCCTCATCTAACAGTAATTAGTTGTCAATATTCCTTTAGATAAGATTGGGGTCTGCTGTTCATTTTCCCAGTTCTATGCTGGGTTACTATCTGGGAGTCCCTTGGGCCACCCTGGCCAACAACTCAAAAGAAGGTATCTCCTGTCTGGCATTGTTGCTTGTTATGTAGCCTTTAGCTATGCATATGGACTCTTAAGAAATTATATTGGCCTCTTTAATCTTTGGTTATACTTTCCTTTTGAGTGTTTAAGGCCATACAGTTGGCCCAGATAAACCAATTTATAATAAATAAAATATTTTTTTAAAAATTAAAGCCAACTTATTCAAAGTCACAGTATGAAAATGGAAAAGCTTCAAAAAGTAGTTAAAATGACTTTCCAGCGTATATTTCCTGTTCTCCTAGTGGTTAATTTATTCTTCCCAAGAGTACTTTCTTGTCTTATAGCAATACAATTATAACCACATCATCAATTGAACTATGTAAATGTCCCAAAGTTTCAACTGGCTCAGAATCTAAGTACAAATAAAAATCTCGTTTTTTTCAGGATGTCAAACTTCCTGGAACAGTATGACATGGATTTTTATCAATCTAATTACACCATTGATAACCAGGAACAGAACTATAATGATTCTAATGCTTACAGAAATTATTATGGATCCAGAGAGTAAGTATTTTATATTGAGAACTTGTATTTGTTTTTACAAGTAACAAAACAAAGTATACAAAGTGAGGAGAATTTGTTCTCTCTTCTGAGATAAAAAGACATTGGTAATAATTCACTTTATGGAATTTTCATAAAGAACAATCATAACAATGTGTAAGAACGTATATATTAAAGAAAAACAAAAATTTAAATAAATAAGGATCTCAAAAGCACTTTGCTACCTTATTGGTTTTATGCTGTTTGGTTGCTTTTCTGAATGTTGCTTTGTGGGTCTATGTGAGTAGGCTGGAAGAATGAGCATGTCCTTCTGCTTTCATAATAAATGGCATCTATTGGGCTCTTCTTGGTGCTATGAACTGCCTTTAGCATTAATTAAGTCACTGGAACCTCAAACAATCCAATGAGATAAGTTCTACTATGGTTCCCATTCCCAACCACATAGAGGAATTAATGAATTATCTAAAGATCAGTATACTGGTTATATTTCATGTTGCTATGACAAAAAACATAAAAGAAACATAAGGGGAAAAAAGGTTTAGTTGGTTCACAGTTTAAAGTAGGGTCTATCAAGGCAGGGAAGCCATGTGGCAGGAGATTGAGGCAGCAGTCACATTCTACCCACTGTTAGGAAGCAGAAAGCGAGATGACTGCTGGTGCTCATCTCACTTTATCTTTTGTTCAGTTTGGGACATCAGCCCATGGAGTGTCCTAGAGTTATGGTATGTCTTCCCACCTCAGTTAATCTAATCTAGAAATGCTCTCATAAGTACACCCAGGTGTTTGTCTCCTAGGTGATTTTACTCAGTCAAGCTGACAATTAGTATTAGCCATCACAGTCAGTAACTAAAAAATAAGGTTAAGATTTTGATCTAAGATTGTTTGATCAGTTTTATAAGAGAGTGAACATCCCTCTTACAGGAGAATGTACCATCCTAACAAATCTAGGTGAAATAACCTTATAGAAAATTACATCAAAACTATTCATTATTGGAGCTTGTTTTAAACATAAAAATTACCGCTCCTGATGTAAAAAAGAAAAACATAATAAATTTGAGACAGTAGGAGGGAAGGTCTTCATTTTCATCTCTGCCCAGGGAAGTTTGGACCCTGTTTTCACTGACTGATATCTTACACACAAAAGCAATAAAAGATACATTATGGAACTTATTCCTAGCTGAACCATGCTCTCAGTAACAGGGAAAGGTACTTGTATATTATGTTTGTACAACTTCAAATGTTGAACATCAGGAAATTTATTCCATTCACATTTCTGTTCTGTGCTGCATGGCATCAGTTCACATTTTATGATCTATACATTGAAAGGTAAAGGAACAGCAAAAATGTGCATGGGTGTGAAGGTGAATCTGGGACTACTGGAGAACTGGTGGATAAACAAGGTTTTCTGTAGATCGGGTATATGGTCATTACTTTATGCCTCAGATAACAGAAATCCTGGCATGGATATAGTGGAGATTGTTCTGGTAGGAGAACGCAGAACCGAGGAATGTTGTGGAAGTAATTTTGGGTATTTCAGGAAAAAGAAAGTTGGAAAGAACTAAAGATGGTCATCACAGAAAGAACACAGACTTATGGCTTTCTCCAGTTGATTTTTCTGTGAGAAAGCCATAAACTTAAGGACCACTATTATAAATGCATGTTATTCTTGGTGCAAGAAATATGTGCAGAGTGTCTTATCCAAAGTCTCAGGAATAAAGGAGGAAAAATACATGGAACAAATATTCAGTATTCTCTTTTTGTGTACACAACACTATTTTTTCACTTCATTTAGAAAATTTAACTCCAACAGCTCCATGAGCTTTACTATCACCACTTTACAGATGAGATGACTGAGGCACATGATGGGAAATAATTTTCCTAACATTGCAAGGCAGAAAGATGATGACCGAGTCTGATTCCAGAAGTCAGGTTTATGGTTCACTCTTCTTGAGATGTACTATTGGGCAGTCACTAAAGACAGAACAATAAGTCCACTTTGCAAAAACCAAAGGACACATATGACCAAGTATGCTGTTGACTGTTCTAAGAACACCTTCATAGTCATTTCGAGGTTGCTTGAAATAATTTGTTTAGAAAGATGGATTGTTTGCTAGCAAGTATGTTTAAGTTCCACCAGCCACAACACATGTAGTTCCTTTTGTCGTAATTCAATCGACATTGATCTCATCTGGAATAAAGGCACAATTTAGAAATCATTACAATGTCATTATATGCTTCCTTATAGAACAAATGCAGATGTGTCATCCAGAAGAAGACATCACATTGTACTCTACAAAATTACCATTGGTGCGCAAGATACACATATTATGCCCCTTTAACATCTTCAGTATCAAATGTATTAATGTGACATATGCAATTGCCTCTAACATGTTAACCATTCCATGCTATAATCTTAAAAGAGCATATAATAAAACCTCTCTATTTTTTAATGATATGATGTAGTAGGTTTGAAAATGTCACAAAAACTATAGAACTCATCAGCATAGCCATTCTGAGCTAGTATCATCTAATTAAAAAGAAATACCAAAGACTCATGACTAAGTGCAGATCCATAGTGTATTTAATTCATGGTTCCTCATAATAATTGCAAGGAAAAGGCCTGAAGCACAGAAACTGAATTATTTGTAGCATTTTCTAGGTGGGATTCTGTATTATTTTTGTATGTAAATTGATATTGCTTGGGTTTTGTTCATTATGACATCCTTTAAATATTATAGTCAATGTGTACTAAGTCAAAATTATAAGACAATAAGAAACAATTTTCATGGAGGGTGAGCATGGTAATTTTTAGGTAGATCCACTGAAGGGGTACCCCAATTGCCTCACCTTGCGTCCCTGTTCAGTATGGAAGAAGCCAGAGCAGTCTGCATCCTGAATCCCTATCAGCAATTTGGGTAACCTCTCAGAGGATGGTGTGATAAGAATAGGAGGTAGAAATTGGCTAGGCAGTTAGGGTAAAAAGACCCCAAAGAAAAGTAGCCAGCTTCTTTTTTGGCTAAAAGTCAAAATGTCCTTGGCCTTTTAGCAACATACTCTGTTACTAAAGCCAACAATGTCAGACGTATTTGAGAGCTTTTATCTAATCCCTAAAGATTTTAGGGTTACCTCTTCAGAGGAGGGAATATTGGAGTAGCAAAAAGCCCCATAAATTTAACTGGTCCAGACTATAAAATGTCTAGTCTATCTGTTGGAGGACAAACTTTTCCAGTCTCACTGGTCGATCATCTGGTGATAGAAGCGCTTCTAGGAAGGCAGGCTCACCTTAAGTTGTGCTAAATAGATGGTCAGAATACGTGGTGCATTAATGAGGTAGCGAGTTTTTCCTACCTGGAACTAGCTCAGATCTCTGTAGAACTTCCAGATGAGCCACAGTCACGTAGATCTCTATAAGTCTGTCTGCTTTCCTGAATTCTTCAGGAAAGCGTAGTTTCCCCTTTTCTTCTTCATGCCTTTCTTACCAAACATGCTTTCTTTAAGGCTTTGGGCTGCCCCTAGCATTTCGTAATATTTTATTTTTTCTCTAAATCTTCCTTCTCCCAGCCATGTGACTGTGAGTCAGCCACGTGTCTGACTGCCATGCAGACTCTAAACCTGCACGGCTCCATGGCTTTCTTTCCTTCTTCCCACTATTCACCTCCTCAAGGCAGCTGCCAAGATGACCAGCTCACCTGCCCTGGAGATGTTTAAGAGTATAGTAAAATTGTAAAAGCTTCAAATTTTTTTCTTTTTACATTTTAAATTAGTGGTAAGAAGAGCTTTAATTTTAGGCCAATATTATACTAAGGACAATAGTGACCAAATTCCTAGTAGCTGGAATGATGGAGCAAGTATGGTGTAGGAAAGAAGAAAAGATAGGATTTAGCTACTGCCACTCATGGTGGCAGAATTCTGATATGGTGTGTGTGTGTGTGTGTGCGTGTGTGTGTGTGTGTGTGTGCGTGTGTGTGTGTGTGTGTGTGTGTGTGTGTGTGTTACATATAGAGTTCTTTTTTAAAAAAAACGTTTTATTTATTATTTTTATTTTATGTGTATGTGTGTATTGCCTACATGTGCACCTGGGTCCTGCAATGCCCACAGAAGTCAAAAGAGGCTTTCGGATTCCCTGGGACTGGAGTTATAGAGAGTTGTTAGCTTTCATGTGGGTGCTGGGATTTGAACCCTGGTCTTCTGCAAGAACAACCAGTGTTCTTAACTGCATAGAACATGTGGGTGCTGTTGGGAAAGCATGGGCTAAAATAGCTACTCTCATTCAAAGAGATTGCTTGCAGATAGTAACTGTGAAAGCGGTACTCTTCAAGCCTGGTTATCTATACCTGGGCATGAGTTATGGTGAGTTAGGTTGAGGCCAGACAAATATGTCAGTGAAAATATGATTCACACACTGGTCCTTTGGGTCATCTTTCTCTACACCTTTAATTTTATAGAAGCTATATTAAAAAAAAAACATTTATTAGATTTTCACCAGTAAATGAGCAATTCAAATTCTTATTTAAAAGTTGTGTGCATTGGTACTTTTGATAGTGTACCTTCATTGTTGAAGGGAAAAATGAATAATTTGACACAGGGGTGAAAGAGCTAAAGTAATCAGTATCATGCTGTGGGAGATTAAAACATATTAGACTAGCCCTGCCCTTAATGTGCTAGGGTTCTGTTAATTACTGATAAAGTGTATTAGTTACTTATTCTATTGCTCTGATAAAACACCATGCCAAGACAATTTATAGAAGGAAGAGTTTATTTGGCATAGGGTTGCAGAGGGCCTAGAGTCCATCAAGGCAGGGAATCATGGCAGGAAACAGCCAGAGCAGAAAACTGAGAGTGCACATCTTCAGCAGGTACAGGAATAACAGAAAGACAGACTTGAAGAGGGCAAGCTATATACTCTTCAAACGCACCCCCAGTGACATGCTTCCTCTAACAAGGATTCCATGACCCTCTGTATAGAATGCCACCAACTAGGAACAAAGTGTTCAAAATCTTGGAATGGTGGGCATTCATTTACACCACCACATGTGACTATTTCTTCTTCTATGTGGTTTTATTTACTAAAAAAGGTTGTTTTTTTGTTCAAGTATACATACATACAAAAGGTTGAAGATCTTATATTGGAATTTATATTAAAATGAATTCTTAAAGAAAACAATCAAATGTCATATTGTGAGAATATTTTAGCATTAAAAGACAACAGGGAGTTACAGGTTCGTGTCTTGTAATATATATTTAACTTAGGCTGAAAGCCTTTGTTTGAAAACAAGATAAACAGAAAAACAGAAACTTAAATATGTGAATAGACAATTCCTAATTTTCTTTCACTCCCTGAAAATAACTATGAAAAACAAACTAATAGTCTCAAAAACTCTCTCTTTTCCTTTCTTTTTTCTCCAGCACTAGCAAGAATTATTTACAAGGATCAAATATTTTTCAAGTTTCTCATGCATATGGTTGTTGTTAAAAATTACTTCTGGGAGGTATGTGTGGCTTTTGGCCCCATTTTCCACCATCCTTATGACAAAATGAGATATAATTTCTCCAAACTACAGTCTTGGGAACCAAGAATTTATTGGGCTTCTGTGCAGATCAATGGGTGAGGGGATTACTTTTTAAAGTGTGGACATGCAGGAGCTTTCTTCTTGTGTTGTGGCGGGACCCGGTGACTTCCAGGCAGTGACCCAAGATGGTGAAGGCCACTCCTCCTCTCTGGCTTTCCTGGTTCCTATCCTTAGTCCCTCCCCGTATACTACTCAGGCCAGCTGGTTGGATGGAAGGCATGACTGACTCTACCCCTCCCCTCCTACAGTGTCCATAGTCTAGTTTGGGGTAATTGAAGCAAGCAGGTGAAACTAAGCTTGAGAAAGGGGCACCTATCCACAGCTTGCCAGGCAGGGGAAAAGTCCATGAAATAATAGTAAAACAAAATACATTCAAGGATATGCAAAAGCATATCTTTCTATGGAAAGAGTGAGTTTATACATTGTGTTGCCCCCTCCTTGGGGTGACTATACTATTAAAGTTATGATTTTTGGTAGCTCTTTTTACAGGTTCTTAGAAACTTCAAAATTGATTATTGCCCCCACGAAGAGCAGAGAAAAAGCTTCTCTATAAAGGGAGCAAAGCACTGCTCAGAAAACTTCAGTCCAGATCCAAAGCATGATGTTGTGCAGGTCATGGACTCCCCAAACTCCTATCTTGTATTCTGTAAAATGGAATTAAAAGCGCAGTTTTGACAGTATAGTGTTTTCAATGGGGAAACAGGGGCACTTCCACCACATTGTATATGCTCAAAACTATGTGTTGTTACAGATCACTCTTGTCAAGCCAAAACCAGTTACTTCAATTTTTGAGTTTAATTTTTAAGCAGGTTTATTCTTTCATTGGTTCACATCCATGAAAACTGAGAATTCTTAAGAGGAAAATTATACTCTCCTCCCTTGGTTTGTCATGATATCCCTTTCTTAGATGTATAAATGTAGATGTTATTCTTTTTTCTAGACCTCAGGCCACTGAGCAGAGTCAGCCTGCAGCTCTTGTTTCTCCAGAGATGCCCCTGCCATCAGGTTACACAGGACAGTTTTTTCAGCCAACGTCAAGCTTGGATTATTATTCCCAATCTCCTCACATTGAGAGTTTGGATGAAGAGCCTCCTTTGCTAGAAGATAAGTTGAGGGAGTATTACTAATATGTGTACAGCTCAGAGGACAGCAGCAATAATCAGCACTTACTGTGTTTTGGCAGCATGCTGTATTCAGCGCTTTATGTGTGATTGCCCCACATGTAACAAGAGTCTGCCAAACCAGGACATGTAAGTTTGTTGCATGTTTGTGCAAAGTTTGAAGCAGGTTTGTGCTGATCTGTGAAATTGTCACTGTTATTAAATATGTCTTCACTGTTTCTTAAATTTGGACTCTGATCGTGTATAAACTGGGAAGACATCTTTGTGAAAACCATTTCTATGGAAGCAGCAAGCCTTCTCACTCAGTCAGTGAGGTACTTCATAACAGCTCATTTTATTTTTTGCTGTGTTTGACTAGGAGCCAAGGGAATAGTTTCTGGAATTGATATTTTTTTTGTGACTGACATGGAGATAAGCCAAACTGTTTTCCTTCCCTGGCTCTCACGAGCCCTCTCATGTTAGCTTGGCATGGCTAGGTGAAGAACACCATTCTATTACATAACATTGTTGCTGGAGAGGAAACCCTGAACTCTTCAGAGCTGAATTACCTAGAGGATTTCAGAGAAGTTGTATCCATTGATTTTTATTCTTATCCAGAAGTGCTATATCTCCATTAAGAGCTTTTGCTAGAAGTATACATGCTAAGAAATGACCTAAAAATCTGCTGGCTTTAAACTTGAAAGCCAAGCAGAACTATTCACTGGTTAACCATCTGAGTCCTCTGCATGCTTTATGTGTAATCAACTAAAAATGAATAGATTACAATTCCCAGTATTTTCATTAAAAAACAACCACCTGAAATGAACACATTCTTCTTTCTTTACCTAAACAAATGAAAGATTTAAAATATTCTGAAAAACATTGAAAATTGTATAAGGGTTCTGCTAGTGCTATAGAAGCCCATACAGTTTTGTGGACAGTTACGTTTAACCAGTTCATTCTATTTTTCCTCTGCAATTACCAAACCTTTGGAAGTTATAAACTAGTCTTGATAAACATTGTTATTGATTCCACCAACATATTTGTTTAAAAAAATCATCGAATTTCTAGGAGCTGGAGAGATGGCACAGTGGGTTAAGAGCACTGGGTCCTCTTACAGAGGACCCAGGTTCAGTTCCCAGCACCCACATGGCAGCTAACAACTATCCATAACTCCAGTTCCAGGGGATATAATGCCCTCTTCTGACCTCTGCTAACATTTCACTACATGGTTGCACTTATATACAAGCAGGCAATATACTCATACAATAAAAAATTAAAATAATAAGTAATAAATTAAAAGTTGTCTAAATTATGAATATATTCTTATGTATATATACATATATATATAGTTGTATACATGGTCCAAAATAAAATGCTCTTCTTCAATGAATATATTTCTATTGAGTATTTCAGAATGAAAGTTGGATCATGCAATATATATAAAGTTGTGTATTTTTTTTCAGTTATTTTATTGTGAGCATTTCTGTACATGAATTCATTAAATTTTAAAATAGAAAAAATTGACATACTGATTTCATCACATTTAAATGTAACATAATTTAGAAACAATTTAAAGGCTTTTCGCTATGGTAAATAATACTTATTTTGGTAAACGTCATAGTAAAATATTTTTGCCTGTGAAGCCTTTGGTATGTATCTGTAGCAGTGGGAAAATCTGGTCAGATTACACTTGATGCAGTGTCAGCTGCTCTTGTAAATGAATTTTCTGCTGCATCTTGACAATAGAATATGCAATATCTTTGTTAATTTTATAGCGAAAGAGGAAAAAGGAATATTTTACATTTTATAATTATAAGAAGTTTGACTATTTTCATGTCTATTAACTTATTTTTTAAATTTGTTGATTTTTTTGTGTGTACATGATACAGAACATGCCAAACAATCTTATTCATCTATATACCCACTTCCCAAATGGCACCCTCCCACAGCCTCCCCCACCCCACCCTGGAGCCCATATACTCTGTCTTCCTTGTTACTGCCCACTGTGCTGTCAGCGCCCCGAGCCATTCCCCAGTGTTTGTCCATCTACTGTTTTTACTTTTTCCTATTTTATGCTTTTTCCCATATTTAAGTTTTCCTTTCATTTTCTAAGAGAAATTTATATATGAATGATATCAACTATTCTCTAGAAAATTACATGACAAAACTTTCTCTAGCTTGGCGACCATTTACTTTGTTCACAGGTCTTTGGGAGCAAATGGAAATATTAGTACTTATATTTTAAAATTGAGAATAATTTTTCCTTGACATTTTTGCCAATTGTTCTTCTGCTTAGAATCTATTTGTCCAGACTTATATAGCAATTATATCCCTTCATAGTTTCTCAAATTTAAAAATAATTTGGCCAATATTTAAATTTTGATTCCAGAGTTGTGTTAGGTTGATATATGAATAAGGTTTTGAGTTTATTTTTCTTTATTTAATGGTTTGCTAATTAGTTCCACATTCACTGAAAATACTTTTGGCTTGTTATCTGAAATGTCTCGAGGCTTACACGTGACACCTCACTCATCTTTCTCTCCTGTGTCTTGTGAATGGAAAGTGTACTATAATTTTCCTCCTGCTTTAAGTAGATCAGAATAAATTTCTTTTTGTGCTTATTTAAGCCAAATATATCTTAGAAAAATAAGTACCTAGTAGGATTTCACATTTCAAACTCGTGAAATATTCGGAATTTTCACTGAAATTGTTCTTCAGGCTGGGTAAGTGTGAAAGCTGCATCATCTGCTGAAAGATGAAAACCAATAAGCAGGATGTCCAGGAAATGGGGATGGAGGACATTTGCTAGTTTATTGGCTTCACAGTTTTGAAGCTATAATGAACATTCTGTGTACAAAAGCAGGTTATTTTGAAAATGTGCTCTCTAAGTCTTGCTTTGCAGCCTGGTATTTGTTTATTTTTATGTTAGATCGATGCATTTTTGCTTTTTGATAATGTGTGATTGATACATTATGCACACAATGTCAAGAAAATAATTAAGGGATGTATCTTCCAGAATAATAGTCAATCTAAATTTGTAAAACTAAAAAAATTTCTGGTATATGCTTTCTTCTACTTGTAGCTTGGTGTGATGCTTATATTTGAAAGGTCGGTACCATAATTTACATAAAAAGAAAGAGCTTAGATCTAGATTTAAACTCAGTTATATCGTATACTTTATGACCACTAGATGACAGTAAAACAGTAACTTTTGCAACCAGATTTCACAGGATTTACTTGACATAAAAATTCTGCAGTGCTTGGTAACTCCTGCATTCTATTTCAGCACTTAGTACTGCAGTGTGAAGAACTTAATTTTGCCATCAAATAAGTGTTGGAAATCAATAATGATATTGCATACAGCATTTTCTTCCGAGTTTCCTCAGAAATAATTATTCATTTTGAGGAGAAAGGTTATTTGCAACCAAAGCATGTGAAAACAGAAAATGTAACCAGCATAAATGTCAGAATTGAAAATAAAATTTGAAAGTGATGTACCTTTCGCAGGAAATTAACTTAAACTGTACTGTTTCTCAATTTTATAATCTTTTACTATTTAAAAAAAAACACATTAAAATTCTAACCCATTTTAAACTCGTTGATTTTCCTGTATCCTCCTTATATGATTGTAAGATATAAATGCATTGAAAACAAAGGAAAAAATGGATATTGAGGGGCTGGAGAGATGGCTCAGCACTTAAGAGCACTGTCTGCTCTTGTAGAGGACCTGGGTTTGATTCCCAGCACCCACATAGTGGCTGGAGTCCTTAACTCCGGTTCCAGGGGAATCCGAAGCCCTCTTCTGACCTCCATGACATTGCACAACACAGGTGCACTCACATACATGCAGGCAATACAGTCATACACATAAAATTAAAATAATAAAATATTTTTTTAAATGGATATTGAAATGCAAACAACTTGCTCATTGTAATTGCTCAATTTATTTGTTAAATGAACAACAATGGTTCATTTTTCTCCCTTTATCTTTTTCTTCTCCCCATTCCTGTGGGTCAAATTGAGGGCCTTGTGCCTGCGAGGTAACTGCTTTACCACTAACACATGCCCCAAGTTGGTTGATTTTTTTTTTTTTTTTCATGCTTGGGATGGCAAATGTCAACCAGGACATTAGATATGTAAAAGATTACCTTCTCTATATTAGCTTGCTCAGAGTCTTGATGACCCTCTGAAAATTTGTGAGTTATTGAAGAAAGTTCTTACCATGGCATGAGGACCATTAGAAGTCCATCTTGTGCAACCTGTCAGTTTTGGGAATATTTAAGTGGTTCTTGTCACCACTGAAAAGAAGGTGAGGATGGAAATGCAGCTGAGTGGTGAATTGTTTGCCTAGTACCCAGATCTATACATAAACAAACAAGTAGACAAATATATAGATAAATAAATAGCTGTATTATTGTCAATAATTGGCCAGAAATGATTTATACATTCTTTAATTTACAGTTGAATTCAGGAAAATACCTTTCTCATAAGAAAGTTGGAATCAATTAAATATATCTAGATATATAGATTACAAGTTTATAGGGGCTGGCAGCAGTTAGAAGCACTGATTACTCTTCCAGAGGACCCAGATTTGGTTCCCAGAACCCACATGGTAGCTAACAACTGAGTTCCAAGGAATCTGACATCCTCTTCTGACCTCCGTGGGCAATGTATGATGCGAGTGCACTTACATACATGCAGTCAATACACTCATACACATAAAATAAAAATAATAGATAAAATTTTTAAAAAGTGAAAGATTAGCAGTTCATGGACTCAACTTTTCAACGCTTCCCTTAAGCATGACTGTCCAGTGTGGAAATCTAGATTTTCTATGACTATCGTTAAGACATTGGAAATCACTTTAACCCTTAAAACTCCAGCCATATGAGGAAGAAGTAGGAATGAAATGACACTTCCCTTACCATATGTCTGTAAGACCAACACATATAAATCTTGATTTTCCTGCAGTAAACACTGTGTACTAAGAGCTTGCTGTGGTCGAAATGTGCTTGTAGCTTAGTTTCAATTTCCCTACCTTATACTTTACTCTTGTTGAAATTTTCAAATAATGGAGGGAAGCAAACTCTGATGCTGATCCCTAACTTGTCAAATCATGTTTTTCTCTTTGAATGTTTTTTTCTTCTCCCTAAGATATATCTTAGTTTTCAGATTAGTGACAAAAGAGATGGATGTGTCCAAATGTGTTCCTTATTTAGTTGATACCTAATGGCTAGGTGTTCTTTCAAAATAATGACAGAGGCGAGGAATCTAGATGAGACTCAGAGGTACCAGCTAGAATTCTTTGGAAAATAAGCACTGGATGAAGAAAAGAAATTTCTAAATGAGTCAGAACTAATGGACACATATATCAATAATTTTAGATATTTTATTCAAATACTCTCACCTACAAAAGGAAAAAATTAACTTGTCCCAAGTATTTAATATGTAAGTGTATTAATTCAATCTCATAGCGTATTGATTTATAAAAAATATGCATGTATGTTTTGCTTACTGTTCTCTGAAGAAAGAATTCTCCTCTTTTCTCCTTGTGGCATTTTGTCTATTTAAAAGAAGGTTGTGGGAACTGGAAAGATGACTTAGAAATAAAGGCACTGACTGCTCTTGCAGAGAACCGGGGTAAAATTCCTAGCACCCACATGGTGGCTAACAGCCGTCCATGACTCCAGTTCTAAGGGATTAGACAACCTTTTCTGACCTCCACGGGTATTGCACGAGATGGGTGCACTTGCACACATGCAAGCAATGCACTCATACACACAAAATTAAAATAATAAATAAAATATTTTAAAATAAGGTTCTACTTTTTTATAGGCACAGTGGAAGGAAAACCATAGACTTAAACTGAGTGTCACTAAAAATTATGCTTGTTTAATATGGAAAAATTCCAGAAATGTTATCAATTGAAAATGCAAGTGGGGAAAATGTCTAAAGGAAGAATAGGAGACTTTTGGTCTGTTAACTGCAATGCTATTATTATATTTTTTATTGTATGACTTTCCCTTATTTGTATCTAGATTTAAGTTTATTTTTGCTATATAAGCCAGAGAAATTTTTCCATGATGGATACTTTTTCTCCAAAATATTTTTTTTGAGTGTATTGTTTACTAATAAAAATTCTCTTTCAGTTTGTATTTTACAGGCCACTGTATGTTATCTCTAACTTTAGAGTATGGAAACATAATAGAACAATCAGTTTAAGATGCTAAGTAAACTAATCAATTATATTAACTTTTCTTCTTATGTATTTATCTCTCTTTTTATTTTTTTCATTGATCTTTCTGCAGAACTTGGAATTAATTTTGATCACATATGGCAAAAAACCTTGACCGTGTTAAACCCAATGAAGCCAGCAGATGGCAGCATCATGAATGAAACGGACTTCACAGGACCCATCCTGTTCTGTGTGGCTCTGGGAGCCACTCTGCTTCTGGTAACTTAAAACAACCAAAGCCAGATTTCAGTGCTTGTCTTCCACAGCACAGGTTTTAAAGGGATCTTCTAATGCATCTGTAATTTTCAAAGTGGTTTTAAAAAGTATACGTAACTAGATGAAATTTCTCTTTCTAGACATCCAAGATACTGAACAAAATCTAGTTTCAGTATGTCCAAAACTACATCCTATTTATCTAGTACCATAGTACAGTGATAATAACTTCCTTTTTGTTCTGTAGAAAGCGCGAATTCTCTAAATCAGATACTGTCAAGCAGAGTTTTCATTTCGTCTTCTTCTGACTTTGTCACAATCATTTGATAACTTTGGATTAAGCTGCTTTACAAGGCCATGTCAGTTAAGCAAACAGAAACAATTTAATATACTAGCTTATCTTCTCTTTCAAATCATTAGTAGTAGAACAGCTGCTTTCTTTGGTAATTATTACTGTTACTATTCCTTAAAGGACAGTATTATTCCCACCAAGATTACTCTTGGATACAAAATGTTCATTGGGGTGATTTAAATATCCATTCTTATGCTTTAAAATGAAAGTAATGCAAAAAATCTTAACTGGAAGTGAGGCACTTGCCAATGACTATGATCTTAATTTTGCCCTTCCATTTTTTGCTTAATTTCTTCACATTCTTCAATACAAAGGGGTTATTTGGGTTAGTCTGCAGGTTCATTTTAGTTGTAAAATTATCAGGAAGATATGAAAGATATTTTACAAATATTTTATACAAGCATTAGCCCTTGGATTTTATCATTATCAATAAGAGTCAGAATTAATATTGATAAATATTGACCAACAAAAATGCCCCCAAAACTCCATCTGGATAGCAAATCAGATTTAATTCTGAATCCAATTGTTGCCAAGTTACTTCTGTCCTACCCAGCCTCTATAATTGAAAATTCATTAAATGGGCTATTGCAACCATTGTACTAGTAAAATTAAAACTAAATTTAGAACCAATATCCATATCCTTTGAGTATTTCTGGATATGTAAGACTCACAGTCATGTAGAGGAGGCTGCTTACCTATTGGCACACCACGAGAGAAAGATGGAGACAGGACGGACTAGAATCCCAGTATCCTCAATGGGGATATGCGCCCAGTGACTCTCCCTACTAGATCCAGCTTTTAATTGTTCCATCACTTCCCAATAGCACTACAGGTTGGCACCTAAACCTTTAGCTGTGGTTGTTAACTAACACAAACCACATCAATGACAGTGTTTTTTCACCACCCAATAACAACTCACAATTTAAAGGCATTCTCCATTTAAATATTCTGGTTCGGCTATCAGTGTGATCTGAAAAGTAATGCACATAAGCAGTACAAAAATACAGTTAAACCTGGGTCTAGTGGTCCATGTCTGCCATTCCAGCATTTAGGAGATGCAGGCACTAGAGAGTCAGTTTGAGATCAGCCTAAACTATATAGTAAGACCCTGTCTCATAAAACCAGGGAGTAGGGATATACCTCAGTGGCAGAACATTTTTCCCCTATGCACAAGGCCTGGATTTGATCCTTTACATTACAAGATTATTTTTTAAAGTGTATTTAGGAGAAGTCTAAGAATTTTGAACCAAGATATGGTAATAGACTAATTGTCTAGGGAGGATCTCAAAAATTTTTGAGGTTAAAAAAATCCAGATAATACATTTCCTATTTCAATATTAAACATTTTCAAGAATTTGAAACAAAATCTTAAAATAACAATATAACAGATATGGATTATAAATCTCCAAGATTATATTCTGTTTTATTATTATGTTCAATCATGATTATTCATTAAATGTGGGGAGAAAATATACCTATTTTACTCCTTGCACTCCTTATAAACAATCTATGGTTAAAAAAATCAACCTGGGACTGGTTCAGAGCACTTGGGTTCAGTTCGCAGCACCCACATGGCAGCTAACAACTGTCTGTAACTCCAGCTTCAGGGTATCTGACACCTTCGTCTGACCTCCGCAGGCATTGCACTACACAGGTGCACTTACATACATGCAGACATAACACTCATACAAATAAAATCTAAAAATAATAAAATATTTTTTTAAAAATCAATCTGGCAACATTTTACCTTTTCTGTACATGCCGAGTTCATGTCAAGTATAATCAGGGTGCTTGTTTTTAGGATTGGAATTCATATAACAGACAGTGTTTTATTTTACTTAATTCATTCATCCATCCATCCATCCATCCATCCATCCATCCATCCATCCATCCATCCATCCATTCAACTAGAATCTTCAGCTTCCTGGTGATGGCACTACTATGGTATTTATTAGTGTTGAGCATACTTCCAAATGTTCTTTATGTTGTTGTTATTATGATTTCTTTTCATATGGTTGTGATTGCCAATTGTTTCCTTTGCATTGTTCCAGGCAGGAAAAGTTCAGTTTGGTTATGTATATGGCATGAGTGCCATTGGCTGTCTTGGGATTCATGCCTTACTGAACTTGATGAGCTCTGCAGGGGTGTCGTATGGCTGCGTGGCCAGTGTGCTGGGCTACTGCTTGCTCCCCATGGTCATCTTGTCCATCTGTGCAATCTTCTTTTCATTCCAGTAAGTGTCTGTGTGCACTAATTGATCCCATATGCACAGTCTTTGCCCAGGCTTGCCAGACCAGGGCAAATATGAAGCCTTCTTATCATTTGGTCAATAAAATTTGGGAAATCATGCCTATTAAAAGCTACACATACATGAAATCCATCCAGGGTGTATATAAGATGGGTGCAGATAGGGGAAGGGATCTAAGTGCGTTCAAAATATATTGTAGGAAATTCGTGGAATTTCAATAAAAGATCAATCATAAATTCAGAAAAGTAGGTCAGCTTGGCTTAGGGGCTGTTCCTATTTTTCTAGCTCAAACAATAAATCAGTATGTAATATTTAAAACTGGTACTTTTTAAATTGTTCCATTCATCAATCTGAACTATCGGCATGGGTAATATAACATCTCCAGAAAATTCACTTATTTGATTTTGGAAGAGTAAATGTCCGCTGAACACTGACAAATTACTTCGGCACCCAAGCGTTCTGCCTTCTAGGCTGGAAGCAGCTGTTCTTTCTCAGCTGGGATACTCACAGTGCAGAAGTCCCAGGAACCCTGATGAGGATATTAATTCTGGAGAATTTACAGCATATTTGCTTAGGCAATACCATTTGTCCTTTTTCTTCTTTCACATAGGCAGCTGGCATTCGCAATTCAAACTATTATTAAGGACACAGTAGATGTGTTTCTACACAATGCTTTCCCGAGGCTTGTGCACATCACTACGACTCGGTGACAACAGGCAAGTGACTACATAGTTGTTTGTCACCTGCCTTGTTCCAAATACACTTGGAAATAAACACTTGCCCTAGTGTCATTCCTTCAGATCCCAAAGTGGCGGAATTTGCATTTTCTCCTTGGATGATCCAAGTCTTACATTATTAATGCTGCATTGGATGGGATAGTGTCATATAAAGATTTATCAATACAGGCATACACAGATTAGAAAAACAAAAACTTCCAATACTTTTATTTATCATCATTACAAATAATTATTCTTATAACATTACTGAGGATGGCTTAGACACGCTTATTTTATTTTAAAATGCTCTTATTTTTGATAACAACATTCTTGACAATTACTTGACAAACCTTACCTTTATCAGTGAGTACTCAACGTTAGCTAACAAAGTGACAGAAAATGAATACTGCAAATGCATTAATATAATAAATTATACTTACTGAGTTTTGTCATGGAAAATACTACATTTTGTTTAAATGTTTGCCTCAGCAATTTGCTCTATTTACTGAGCTGTTTAGTACAGAAGTTTGACTGGTTAGTACCGTTTTTTTTTTTTTTGGATAATATTAATGTTTTTGAAAAAGAATAATATGGCATGCCATTTAAAAATTCTAGGTTCCAGCCAGGTATGATGTTGCACATTTTTAATCTCAGCACTCAGGAGTAAAAACAAATAGATCTTTTTGGTTTTTAAGGCCAGGCTGGTCTAGACAGCAAGGGCTACATAGTGATACCCTGACTCAAAAAAATTTGTTTCAAAAAATATGTTCCATTGAATTTGAGAATTAGAGTATCTTAAATGATTTCAGAATATAAGGGACAAAGTGACAACTATTTATATAACTTAGATTTGGAAAATCACTAGAAGTTTGTACTTTTCCATTAAATCTTCATTCTGAAACTATGAGCGATGATATACATGTTAGCTTCTTGTTACTGTGACTAAATTCCTGAGAAAATCATCCTACAAAGTGGAAAGATTTATTATGGTGCTTAATTTTGGTCCATGGTTGGTTATCTTCTATCTGTGGAAAGGCAGAGCTTGGTGACAAGAAACTGTGGTGGAGCAAAGCTCCTCACCTTGTAGTAGTCCGAAAGCAAAGGGAAAGGGAGGAAGTGCTGGTTGGGCAAACTTCCTCCACTAGGCTCTGTCCTAAAGGCTTACCTCTTCCCAATAGTGCTGCTGCAGAACGGTAACCAAAGTTTTAGGGAATAGACTTTGTGGAACACCTAACATCCACACACACCACAACAGATAATTTAGAAATACTTCATGCTAAATGGGAATAAACTCTCTGATCACTTTATATCATTAAATTAAAGTTGTCCTTTGGGTCTATTGATATATCATTAAAGTTAATTATGTATAATTTTTCATTGTAGTCACAGAGGCATGCATGAACTATTCTTTTTTTTTTTTTTTTTTTTTTTTGTTTTTTTTTCAC